ATATATCACATATACAAGGTGTCTAAGTTCACTTCGACACATAAGGCCCCAAGTTCAGGCTTGACGATCCTAGAGAGGGTGCGTTTAAAACTATAATAAGCTGATAATGTGTTTTTCCATACTTTCGTAAATCATTATCATTATTACTCTCACAAATTTTATTCTTCTTCTTCTTCTTTAGGTGTCATGCAGATTCCTGCTTTGGCGTCCTCCGTTTTCCCTGTAATATGAGTCTATTTACTGCAGCTTCCTGGGGCGACTGAAAGTCCACTGGCAAATAGTTCTGAGCGAAGACAACTTTTTCCTTCCGACGCCTGGTCTTCCACCTTCAAACTTTCCCTGTAGTATTAGGCGTTGAAAGTCATATCGCTTTCCCAGTATAGGGTGCCCCAGGTAAGAGATCTTTCGTTTTTTACCATGTTCGAAGAGTCTTCCAATCCTGAGCACATCGTCTTTCCTGACCCGTTCCGTCCACGGTACCTTTAGCATCTGTCTCAGAGTCCACATTTTGGACGCTTCAATGCAGTGGATTAAAACAGTTTTAAGCGTCCACGCTTCTGCTCCGTACAGGAGAACCGACGAGACATAACACTTAATAGGCATCTCTAGATATAACCATAAACTTTGTTTTGCTCGTTTTTTAGGCCCCTACTGTCTCCTTTAGTAGGATTTGCAAATCGTTGGCATTATCGGCTACTATTAGGATACCATTAACTATAATATCCATGGGTATTTTAGATATTATCTCCACATAGAGATTGAAAAGCATTGGGGATAAAATGCAGCCCTTCCTTGTTTCAAATTCCTTTGTTGTTGCTGAAGACGTATTTCAGCCGCCTGGTGCCAATAAATTAGCAATCAGTCTTACATCTTTGTCGTCCAATCCAAGTTTTTGAAGATATGTTATCAGTTAAATCTAATTATTATTTTTATGTTTTGATCATTTATGAGGTGGAAGGTTTCTGATAACATGTCTGGTCCTGGAGCTTTATCAGTTTTATGACATTAAGAATTTCACTCTCCAATATGTATTAGTATTGCGGTGTTCTGCTTTAGTAGATGGGTGTTAATGGCATCTAGGTGGGAGTTTGCACCAAGTAATTGTGGTGACCAGATTGTTCTCATCGCAGAATTGATTTCGTCCCTGTCGTTCCTTTCTTCATTATAACTACTGTTGACTGTTCACTCAGTATGTTGATGTCAAATATTCCGATTTCGTCTTTTTCCATACTCTGTGCAGTACACTTACGTTATCTTTCTGATTAATATGGCAAATTTAATATGTGAATTTGAATTAACGAATGAACGCAGCGGAAACGGTTAGCGGCTTACTGCGTAACTAAATGCAAGGTCGAGTGTGCCGCTCAGCTACCTGGGCACTGACAAATCGGCCTCTTTCCGACCTAAAAAATATGAGTTATACTTGTTAAGGTATGCTAATGATGGCATAGTCTTCATTTGCCTCAGTATCTCTACTTCTGTCATAATTCTTAGATAGAGTTCTCCAAACGATATACCGATTAACTTTAGTGTGTGGGTGGAAAACTTTCTAAAGAACGTATAACAATGTTAGTTTGAAGAGGAGATGCGGAAATGGGATGCACATCCCCATATTCCAAATCTACGGAATAGTGAATTGGCATTTTAATGGAAATGATCGAGTCCGAATACAAATTTCCCATTAATATGCTAGATGCCGTCAACTTTATGAGTAAAGCTTAGAAAGAGGTGACAGCAGGAACAATTCAACACTCCTATCGTCATGCAGGACTTATTACCGAGACAGAATGCGAACAGGACTTGGAAGATGATCAGCCACTAAGCGAGTTGATAAAGCAGTTTCAAACAACACGTTTACAAGTGAGGAGTTTGCAACTCCTCACTTGTAAATTTTTATGGTGATAGATCAGGCAAAAGAAGCCATATTACAACAAGCAAGAAAGGGTGAGGAAGAGCACCAAGAGGAAGAAGAAGATGAAGAAGTTGATCTGGCACCACAAACACCACACACAACACCACATTCAACAAGCCCCATATTCAGTTAAGCTGTTAGAGTAATTTTTTATGTATCATGGGGAAGATGGCCCTCTCGAAGAAATGGTGAAAAAACAAGCCAAAGTACGAGATGCATATTGGCATTTTAAAAAAATTCAAAAGGAAATGACCGATTATTTGAAACATTAAATGTAGTTCTTAAATATTTATATAAAATGTTCCCAAGTAGATGTTAAAATACGTATATAAAATAATTAATTATTACAGAACACATATGCGTATTGTTATTTTTGACGAAAAAAGAGCAGTCCCTTCAATTTTGGGTATATAGAGTTTCGACTGTAACTGCTTCTTTGTGAAAGAATTTTTTTCTTTCTTGGACACCATTCACAACTATATCATATATATTAGTCATCTCGGATGTTAATTTTCACGTTTTCACCAACTCCCACAAATCAACCAGTAGCAAACTGGAAAAACATTCATTATACATCAATTTTCTACATAAGATTTTCCTAGGAAAATATTTTACAGTCAAGCTTTCAAATGTATTTTTAGTATAGGAGATCAACCTATCTAATGGGCAAATTCAACTAGGAATCGAGCTACCTCAATTAGGGACTGTTTTGGGAAGATTTATAAAAGCGCATTATTATGAATTAATATCCCTTTCGCTTTATCACAGGCGGGTCTTAAAGTCATTCCGAAGTGAAAACCATAAAAGTTGTAAAAACGATATATCTTTTGGAGAACTCTACCATTTGAATGGAGCGCAATCAATCTAAGCGAACTAAAATCGTTTTCGTAACGTTAGGGACCGTAACCCAATTTTTTTTAAGTGACGCCTTGCGTCGATATATCGTCGCGTTTGGTTCTTAGTCGACGCCTGCGGCCACATCAATTTTTTCCAACTCCATCAAAAGCGATGACGTGACAATAATTCGCTCTCCTCAGCCCCGACGATACAGGCGGGCTAATAAATCAAAGGGATGATTAGAAGAACGATTTATATACGGCGCGCGATGATCACAGAGCCGTACTCGAGGCGGCCCGACGTGCTTACCTGCGCCCCAGACAGTTTTGGAGAGAAAAAAATACCACTTTGGAAGCGAGCCAACCGCTTTCCCGGTATAAATTAGGTCAGATGAATTTTTCATTAGGCCTGCCTAGACGAAAAGCCCCAAGCGACCGCTAACATTTGAGTCGACCCAAAAATAAGCAAATCGTAATCAGATAAGCGGTCCACGTTTTAAGGAAATGACCAAGTCCAAAAAAATTTTTTCTACGATCGCGAAAAGAGAAAACACTTCCTGCACTAGTGTACTTCGAGTTACAGTGCGCTATCATTTGGTTTGTTTCAACTTTTAATTAATTGTTATGGCTTGTCGTTTGTCGACCATTCTACACTGGTGGTCAAGAATTAACTGACATTAACGTATTAACAAACTATTTATATAATTATTATACATAATAAGAGGCGATTCACCTTGAGTATCTTTTTAATATATTTAGCCACCTGCCGCGCTGCCAGTTCCACTGGAAAAAGACACGATTAGAAATGCGTTAATATACTATTTCAAAGTTTTACGAGGGCTAGCTAATACATTCGTTTGAATGGCCAATACGTGATTTTAATGATAAATCATATATAGGACATCCCAAAAATTGACATTTCTGAAAGAAATTTTACTTAGGTAGGCTAGGGTTCACTTATGTTTTAAGTGTACTTGATAACGACAAACAGGTTTTAAATGAAGCACGGTAAAACAACTAACAAAATGGAAAATTCAAATGAATACTCCAATTTTAATATTTTAACAGGATCTGTAGAATGTTTAACTATTTATATCCATATTTGCCGCTCATAAATGGAAACAAAAATGGAAAATAATATCTGAAATATAATTTTTATGTCCTTGTTAAGATTTCTTTAAATGTATTTGCTTTCACTTCAACGGAATGTAAGAAACAGTTGTCGATTGGTATTTGGGCACGTATGGAGATTTTGCAGATAAATTTTGGAACTTCTTAAGCAAAAAGAATTTTTACTGTTACTATTTTTTGGGTTACCCTGTATGACTTACTGTCAAATTCGTGTATGGGCCTTTCACACCTATCGCTGTTACATTTTGAAATAGTTAACTCATTTAAACAAAAGGATAGATAGGGAAAGACAAATTTTAGCAAAACCTATTCATTTGAAATTTGAAATGGAACACTGTGTATGTTCCATTTCAAATTTCCCACGTAGTACTCTGTTTCGAGTTGAATTGCCAACGCCAAATTTGAAGAACGATTTAGTTCTTCAGAATTTTTAATATACAATTATAATACATAATTTATCGACAAAATTCTCATTACTATATAAGCCGCAAAACCATTTTCTAAAATCTTGAATTCATTTATTTATTTTCCATTAGACCTTCAACAATCGAACGGTCGCATATCTGTTTGGTGATAACGGGAAACAATTGTCAAGTAGTAATTAGCAAGCGAACATCGGTTTTGTTTATTTGCAATAGAACGCGACAATGTTGACGATACCGAAAACATTTCGACACGTACACGTTGAACTACTGGCGGATGCGCCGGGTCTTTAACGTTCAATTTTATTTTCGTTTTCAGATATCCGATTAGTCGTAGCCCTAGACTAGCCCATGCCATAATCACTAACGAATGCTCAGGTATCCCAAAAGACAACGATATGCATGATTTCATTCCGATCTTGCTATTCTTTTACGGTGTTCTGTTAACTTTTTTCTGTTGCACTTTAGTGGGTTAATTGTTAAATGTTACCTTCTACCGCAAAAAGTTGGAAGAGCACCTCAAAATCATTCCAAATTCTGGTGTGTTCTCCCATTTAGAGGTCTGTCTTCCCATCGGCATGCTTTTAAATTTTCATTTTTATACCGATGCACAAAAATCGATTACAACGCGTCTTTCCGTTTCCGATACGTCGTCTGCAAATATCATCGTCGCAAATGTAAAGGGCTCGAAATTTCCAGGCAACCACCCACTCCGTTGCTGGTGGAGGACCCCCCGAGTAGCGAGGATGGCGCCGACGACGACGTAAAAAGCCAGAGTCTTCTTAATGGGTAAGCAAATTTGCGTGTTATTTCCGCGAAAAAGGTAACCTCAATGATCAGTCAATTGCCGTATGAAGTCACAGACGGGTGATTAATTAAAAATCGAAACCTTTCAATTTAGTTTCCCGAACGCGTTTCTATTACACTACAAAGCGGTGAGAATCCAAATAGGCAGGTTTCTTTAATTTGTATTCAATAGTGTCAAGTCAAGCTGGATTCTTTTGTGTGTATACATCTGTAGGATATACAGATCACAAAAAATATTATTCGGTTATAGCGTTATCGTAAGTGAAAAGAAATGTTCGCTGTGTTTGCGTCCCCCAGAACGCGAGGCAATGGCTATCTTCTAAACAAAGACGACGTGGCATTTGGATGAAATAAAAGTTTCAAAAATTACTCATATTTTTTAAAAATGGGATGAAATCATCAAGTGGTATTTCACGGGTAGAAATTATTGGCAAATTTGCATTTTTGTTTGAAAATAGTCCAATTTCCGAGAGCCCCTTAAAGGGAACGTTGCGAGTAGGAAGTTTGTGCCTCAGCAAATTTCTCGGGAACTTGAGATGGGTAGTGTTATACATTGAAAAAAATAAATGAAGATTTTTTACCGAATATTTGATTCACCAATGAATCTTCATTTTCTTTATTTGGTCGTCATAATCCTGCAGTGGCTGTTGGGTATTTCCAAGAGAACCAACATATGGACTGGTATTTTAGGAAACTAATCTATTGATCCCTTTCCTTTGATGGGAATTTTGGTAAGAAATATAGCCGAACAGGTCCGTACTTTGCTTAGAATTTAATTATTTGGGGTTAATTGGCCTTTGTTGTTCTCTGTAAATCCTAATTTTTTCTAGATATTCCACCCTTGGATAATCCCATTCATAAGCAATTGGTCACTTTCTTATATCTATGAACAGACCAGATGATTGCCTCGCACATAATGTTAGGAGAGTTCAGGATTTTCTGAATGCCCGCTTCGTAAGGGAAACAATCGAATGACCACCTAGATCCCCAAATCCAGCACCAAATAATGACGGACTTTTTAAGACTTTTATAAAATAATAATAATTATTGTACTGAAGTGGCTTTTACTTGATGAAAATCCATTTAAAATAGTTAAATAAGAACAAACGTTGTTCAGATTTTGACATAAATATATTTAAATGACAACTGTTTCGGCAACACATTTGATCAAGGCACGGTGTTGCCGAAACAGCTGTCATTTAAATATATTTATGTGAAAATCTGAACAACGTTTGTTCTTATTTAACTATAATAATAATTAATTATTAATATTTTTAATTATGATCAACGTTTTTATTTTAGTCCAAACGGCATTGTAAAGAAATGCGTTAAAAATTTAAAAATGTAATTTCAGATACGACATTGCGCGAAGGAAATCGGGATCAAGAACTAGAATTAAATTATACTAAAACCTTATCCCTCACTGAAACGGAATCGAAGAATCTACAGTCGTAGGAGCCTTACTGGAACTGCGAAGACGTTTGGCAATATAGCAAAATGTCTTACCTTGATGCTTTTAAAATCCTATAACCGAATAATATTTTTTTTCTACTCCCGTTTGTAAAATACCTAATTACACACCGATCTAGCGTGCAGTAACCGTCACTTTTCCACGTCAGTTTTGTTTCCCACGGATCCGAGTCACTTCGGACATTTCCGGGATTTTACCGCACGGATTTGGGAGCAATCGGATGTTTTCGGAGATACGCTTTGAATTTTGACGTTTGACATTTCTGACGATCGTGTTGTTTTGCGAAAATGTACCCAAAAACTAACGGTCGTAGAAAAAGTATAGTATGCAACACGTTCGGTAAAAATTTAACTCACGAGTTTATTAAAAACTCGCTCCGCTGCACTCCGCTCAAATAAACTCGTGAGTCAAATGGTGTTTACCACACTTTTTGCATAATATATATACCTATATAAAAGCTATGTTTTACATACATTGTAAGTGCGTGTTTAGGCAAGTAAACAACAGGAAACAACCAGTTTTTACAATTTGCTACGGCTTTTCCATTACAACCAACCTCGTGGGAAGCGAAACTTAATATTTTTCTATATATTGTTTTATTTGGTGCTCTAAGAGTTGCGAATAATGATCTCCAGTTAATTTTAATCGGACCCAAAATATGCCCTTCTATGATAACCACATCATACATTAATTGATTGGTAGCCCTGGGTTTTTATTTCGTGTATTTGTCTAGGTTTATTAAGACCAATATCGCGTATTTTGTCTATTACAACCCTTTTTTGCAGTGAACGAACTTTCTTCAGTTCATAAAATGTTTTCCAAAAAATTGTTATTCTCATTGTGTCTATTTAAAAAATCCAAATATAACTTTGACATTGTTTTGCACTTAGTTTTTGTATTTTACGAAATTTAAGTGCATTATATTTGTATTCTTTCAAAAGTGAGTGGATTGATCCCCAAGAAATATCTGTTTCGTCATATACACTAGTAATAGAGGAAACTGGATAGGCTGCACACAGTCGCTTATTTTCTTCACTTAAAACATTATGATTCCGGCGTGCCTTATTACGGTTACCGTTTTCTGTAAATTTCTTTGCCAGCTTTGGAAATACCTGAAACGAGTACACTAAAATATGAAGCGTGTTACATCATTGTAATCTGAATAAGGTATTTTATTAAACACATATATAATTTACAGGGTGTTCCATTTAAAAAAAAAAAGATGTATTATATAAAATTGATTGAATTTTGTTTTATGGGAAAAAACTTGGCTACTAACCCTACATTTTTTTTTGTTTACCTTTATATATCTAAAAACAAAAAAGTTACAGTTACAATTAAAATGTTATCGAGATAAATTGAACGCACGGTACACTGCGTGCCGGTTATGACCAACAGTCAGATTTGTCTGGCTAAAATTTTCGTATTTACGTATTTAGTCTTTAGTATGGGGTTCGCGAGATATTAAAAAAAATGGAAGTCATTTCTGGATGAAATCGCAAATACCGTGACACTTCAACCGTAACAATCGGCCGCGATCGATGGATGCCACGTAGAACGTTAGATAACGCGCAATCTGGTAACCAAAACAATACGGAAATTCGACGCTCTTCAAACACATGGCCGTTTTTATTAACAACGTATCCAAATGAAAATGTTTAAACAAATGTTATCTGGCGCAAATAAACGACCGAGTGCGACTGCGGTGTGGCGTCCCGTCGTATGGTTGACGATCGGATTCAGTTCGGACGCGAAAATTACGACGATATGCCGTCGCACATCGACAAAATACCGGAGATCAGTGAAGAATCGGACAGCAGTGGCGGCGACGAGGTGTTTATCCGCGAGGCCGTCCACAAAATAGCGGACATCAAGAGACGCCTGAGTCTGCCACTGCAACGGAAATTTTTCGGTAGTAACCATCAGCGCACTGACAGGTCCAACAGCGTCGTTTTTCATGGGTGAGCGGTATATACTTCGACCAGAAATATAGTGCTTTTACAACCGACCCCGTGATTCACTTTGCCTACTGTTTATTAATGCAAAACCCCTTATAGAACAACCCTGCCGAGCAGGCCCTTACCCGTAACTAATCCAGGACCAGGAATTTAACTACCTACACTAACAAGCGGGATATAAGTATCTTTTCAATCTTCTTCGCAGAGCAATTCTTGAAACATAGTATCATTATTAATATTTCATTCATATTTCTGAAAGGGTTTCTCGAATAGTGCCCTTTATTCTGACTGATTTTTAACTGACTGACAAAAGCTGAGGCAGTTCAAGAAGCTACCATTTTTTAACTTAAACAGTGGAAGAGTAATAAAACCCCATCAGGTACGCAAAAGAACTGCAGAGCGGCCCGACGAATGCCGTGTTTTTAATTGCTACGATTCTTTTCCACGCTCAAATAAGTTCTGTAGCATTTAGGTTACAATGATGTGGAGGTGTATGCAACATACTTGCAATTTTTCTGCTATCTTCCACAGCGTAATTCATAAAAATATGTTTGTGTAAATTTGCTATATGTAATAATTTAGTAACGGAAAGATGGTTGGGTGTTTCTCTTAAGTAAATATAAAACCCAAATTTTGAAAATACCGACTAACTCGAGGGTTGCGGTGGATAACCTGAAGATACCTTAATTATATCCGTACTATATATAACCTTCATTAGGATAAAAAAATTTCTTCTGCTCTCTTCGGTGTAGTCTGTCTCAATCTTTCTCAGTTCTCAATTGCCGCTCTGGCCTTTGATTTTACTTGATTGCGCAAATGCTACATGGGATTAAAGATGCCATGATATGGAGGAAGCCAAATTATCCAAAAATTACCCTTTCTTGTTACTGAATTCAAAATAAATATCCTTTTCTAACAAATATTCCTGGATTTCAGTTGAACTTGATGAGGCTCAGACGGCTGAGGTAGCTTGGGTTGTCCATGATAATAACACTGTTTCTAGGACTATTTTTTAAAAGACTGTTTCAAAAGGTTTGGCACTTGTATCCTCATTATAACCTAAGCTGGAGTTATGCGTTTTCCTTTATTTGAAGGTGCTTCAGAGAGTTTTGAGTGGATTCAACTCATCCTTTGGATACTGTGTCGTGTGTATCGGACCCATGTTTCTTCAATGTAAATTCTGCATCTGTTGTCTAATCTGCTATCTTTTAACTTCTTGAAGTAATTAAATCTCTAAGTGCGTAATCTCTGTGATTCGATTACTACCTGATTTTTGTCGATTCTGTGGTACTTAAATTCCACTGTACAAACAACTCTATGGAGGGTGGAACGGCTTACATTGGTTTCATCTTCTAGCTTCTTTTTCAGTTTATCCAAGGTAGGAAGAAATTCGCTTTGATAAAGACAATATATTTTCCTTTTTTGTCACTCAAGTTATTATAATTTTTTTCCGAATAACATTAAATAATAACATCGTTAAAAGTTTTTATGGGGGACCCTCCCCGAAAGCCAACACGATGAACATTGAGACAGACTATAATCTTTTATGCTTT